TTTTCAGAGGTAGCGACACCTTAATAAAAGGAATAAGTTCCAAAATTTTCAGGTCAAATTTTCAGTTGATTGTGTCTGTATGGATTCTTAAATTTTCTAAATAATAAAGAACTGCAAAATTCAACATTTTCTGTAAAAATGTCTTTTTCAAAACTTTCATGCATGGCTATGTCATGTCAACTCAAACAAGGTGTTATGCCATGTCCTTCCATCTCAAGCATACTGTTTTAGCGTGTCGTTGCTACTTAGCTAAGCTGTTGTTCGCTGTTGTGCTTCTGTAGCATATTTTTTAATATTGTTTGATCCTGCCTTGGATGAAAATTGTATATACAGATTTTTAATTAGACAATTCTTTAATGCATTTTACTATAATAGGTGCTTAAAAAATTTACAAAATCTCTTCCCGTATATAAAATGCAAATAATAATGCTAAATATGTGGCATGTGTTGCATGTGTTGCATGTGTTGCTTGTGTTGACATGCATAGATTTGATGCATGATTTGATTTCAATTATTCGACAGTGTCTTCATATGTTATTGTGAAACATGTATGAGCGACATAATATGAACTGGCACTTGCATGATGTGACACATGTCGCTATGTTTTGTAGTTCAACATTTGCAGACCTTTAATAAATAATCATTATTTTTAAGTGGCGTATTGAAATTAACAATAACAACCACGCTGTCAAGCTTACATAGCGGCGAATCAGCTGCACTTGATAGTACCAGGTTGAATAAGGAAATGGATTAGCTACAAGAGCTGACGGGGTGTGCACAGCTCAGTGGTTGGCGCTTCTGACTTTGCACATCGATGATGCGGGTTCGATCCTTGCTGAAAGTCTGGAAAAAGAGAAGTCTGATGAGATGTGCTGATCTCCGAAATAGCTGCTATAACTTCTACCGCTTAAGCTTCCATTTTCCTAACAAACAAATCGTGGTACAAAGCTCAATAATACTGTTGAAATAATTACTATCTCTCAGCGAATAATAAAAATAAAAAAATAATCGTTGTTTGGGATCGAAAAAATAAAAATCAGATAGTAATTATTTCTGTTGAGCGAAAAAATTTAAATTAGTATAACTAGAAGAGCGAGGGTGATAATTTGATTTTGGTTTTCATTTTGGATAGAATGAGAAAAAAATCAACCAAAAATGGGTTAATATTACCAAATTCAAACTTGAAAACGAATCAACGTCGATTTTTTCGTTTGAAAATGCTTATAAATGTCTCTTCAAATGTTCAACTTCAATCAGGTTTCTTCGTCGTTCGATTTGGTTCCGCACTTCACAGATGCTTTTTCGTAATTAATAAAAACCAAAAACAGAAAAGAAATAAAAATTATGTGTTGCCGCTGACGGCATTCGCACTGGAACCTGCTGGCGACAACAAATAACAGCAAGCACCTCTGCGCGTTGAGCCACAGCTAGGCATACGAATTTGTTTTCAAATGTTCAGCTTGAATCACATTTCTTACAACCGGTGTATTAACAACGAAAATACCAAACAATAACTTGTTTGAAAAAACCATTGTACTTTTGGCTCAGTGTATACATATAAGGGGCTTTGTTCGGTTTTATGGCTATTCAGAGACAGCTCAGTTGATGTAATATGCTTAGAAAAAGCACTGTATATAATGACTGTATTCGGTAGTGCTTAAAAAATTGCGGTTTTGGAATTACGGCACCACTACGGCACACGCAAACGCGCCATACGAGATTGTACCAACAAAGTGCAGTGCGGCGTTTGTTTTAACTTTTCCGCAAAGGATTCTAATGGGGGAGGGTTCGAATCCTCACGTATGGGCCTGCAGTGCGGCAAGACACCGCGGCCACGAAGTCTTTCTGCCCAAGGTATTCTTCCATGGCTTTAGCGATTGTGTTCTGCTGTTTTATGCTCAACATTTCCAATTGGGTAGTTCAAGAAAGTCAAAATAAAAAATTCCTATTGCCTAAACAAAATTTGTGAAAAGTTCACAACAAACTTTTAGACCAAACAAATTATAGTATGTAATGACTTAATTATGTCGCCCACATATGCACCTACAATTATATGCGTGTATTTATGTACATACCCACTAGAACTTGAAGGGAGATCTCCCTATGTGAGGAATAAAAGAG